ACTCACTCCCTCTCAAACACGCACTCACTCACTCCCTCTCAAACACGCACTCACTCACACACTCGCCCACGCACTCCCTCACACACTCACAGTCGTAAACGCACTCGCTCACGCACTCCCTGTCGCACACGCACTCGCCCACGCACTCGAATTCGTAAACGCACTCGGTCACGCACTCGAACACGCACTCGAACACCCACTCGCAGTCGCCCACCCACTCGCAGTCGTAAACTCACTCCCTCTCAAACACGCACTCGCCCACGCACTCCCTCACACACTCACAGTCGTAAACGCACTCGCTCACGCACTCCCTGTCGCACACGCACTCGCCCACGCACTCGAATTCGTAAACGCACTTGGTCACGCACTCGCTCACGCAATCGAACACGCACTCGAACACGCACTTGAATTCGTAAACGCACTCGCTCACGCACTCGAACATGCACTTGAACACGCACTCCAACTCGCATTCGCTCACGCTCACGCACTCGAACACGCTCACGCACTCGCACTCGCACACACACTCGAACATGCTCACGCACTACCACTCGCACACGCACTCGCTAACGCACTCGAACACGCTCACGCACTCCCACTCGCTCACGCACTCGAACACGCACTCCCACTTGCATTCGCTCACGCACTCGAACATGCACTCCCACTCGCACTCACTCACGCACTCCCACTCGCTCTCGAACACGCATTCGAACACGCATTCGCACTCTCACTCCCACACGCACTCGAACACCCACTCGCAGTCGTAAACGCACTCGAACACCCAATCGCAGTCATAAACTCACTCCCTCTCAAACACGCACTCACTCACTCCCTCTCAAACACGCACTCACTCACACACTCGCCCACGCACTCCCTCACACACTCACAGTCGTAAACGCACTCGCTCACGCACTCCCTGTCGCACACGCACTCGCCCACGCACTCGAATTCGTAAACGCACTCGGTCACGCACTCGAACACGCACTCGAACACGCTCACGCACTCCCACTCGCTCACGCACTCACTCACGCACTCCCACTCGCTCTCGCACTCGAACACGCACTCGAACACGCACTCGAACACCCACTCGCAGTCGCCCACCCACTCGCAGTCGTAAACTCACTCCCTCTCAAACACGCACTCGCCCACGCACTCCCTCACACACTCACAGTCGTAAACACACTCGCCCACGCACTCCCTCACGCACCGCCTCTCGCACACACACACACTCCCTCACGCACTCACTCATGCACTCCCTCTCGCACACACACACTCGTACCTCCACCCAGTCAAAGATCCTCTGGTTGTCTGCTTTCTCCTGCAGGAGTCGCTCCAGCTCTCTAGAAATGTCTTCTGGACTCAGAGTAACTTTACTGCTCTTCCTCACACACTCCCCACCCAGAGTGAACTCCACTCCCTGCACACACACACACACACACACACACACACACACACACACACACACACCCCTTACAACACACACACACACACTCATTACATAAGGGATTATCAATCATACAGTTTAACAATGCAAGAATGCCGCCGTTGATCACTCTGCTGCTGTTATGACTGAATTCATCACAAACCTCTTCGGTGACAAACTTATTGGCGTCCTCGTCTTCGGGCAGGAAGTCTTTCCAGCTCAGCGCCGCATCTCTCCACATCGCTCCCACCTTCTTATGACTCTGAGACAAGAAACAGGAAACAGTTCAGAACTTCATTCAGTACAACAGCTGGAATATATAGTGCGCTATGTGGTGTGTCAATCATTCCCTATGTAGTTCACTCTTCTGTACCCACAATGCACTTTATAGTGTACAACAGGTATTTAAATTAGCATTGGAATTAGCTCACTCAGTGTCGATCACTTTGTAGTGAATGAGCAAGCAATTTGGGACACGGCGAGCAGGATTAAATTATTTGGGGGAAAAAAGGGAAAAAACAATCACGATGTTTCTGATAAAAAAATGTGACTGCAATTTAAAATACAAAAAAAACCCCTCCAGGTTTGCAGGTTTGCTTGTTAGGGCTGCACAATTTGACCAGAACGTTTGTGATTAAATATATCAATATGAAATAAGATAATATTATATATAATATAATAACTATTATTATTACTATAGTTATTATTACCAAGAACAATTATTAAACAAAATGAGAAATATTAATATATATAAATGTATATATTAATGTCATTTCACTGTAAAATAAAACATTTAAAAAAGTAAACAAAAATTGTATTACATATTATTAAAAACTATTTATTATACTATTATTAACTACCATTATTATTGTTTTTATTGAGATTATTATTACCTAACACAATATTAAACAAAATAAAAAATATTACTAATGCAATATTTCACTGTAAAATAAAAAATGTAAGAAATAATATATATATATATATATAGAGAGAGAGAGAGAGTTTATTTGCAAAAGCAGATTTTCGAAAATCATGTTTTTATGACATTATCATGTTTTTATTGTGCTTTATTGTGTTAGTTAGCTGTATTTTTTTTGTTATTTTTTAACCCTAATCAAAATAACCCAACTATATATATATATATATATATATATATATATAGAGAGAGAGAGTTTATTTGCAAAAGCAGATTTTCGAAAATCATGTTTTTATGACATTATCATGTTTTTATTGTGCTTTATTGTGTTAGTTAGCTGTATTTTTTTGTTATTTTTTAACCCTAATCAAAATAACCCAACTGCAGTTTGATTGAGATTAATTGAAATGCACAATGAAAAAACATGATTTTTGAAAATTGTTAAAAATTGAGTTATCTGTTTATATATATATATTAATTAATTTCATTTTATTTTACAATAAAGCTGTAAAATTAAAATACTAATATTTATGGCTTTCTTAAGTTCTTCACTTTCAGTTGTTAAAGCACTGAACTTTAATTATGGCAGGAAACTGCGGGGAAGCTTTTATTTTGTTGATAACAACGGGTTTATAAGCGGTTTAATACAAAATTTGTGAAGACAATCGGTGCACGTTGCATTCTGAAATGCACAATATAAGCGACTCAAACTCAGAGCAGATGCAGAGATTAATATGTGTGAAGCAGCATTCGCTGAGACTGAAAACAGTGGATCATGAGCCGCTCGTGTGTAAATGAACACAGTGCCGCGCTTCCGTCTTAAATAAGTGCATTTATTTATTTAATTAAATCACAGACTATAGTTTTGTGTGTATATGTTGTAAATTTGAATGCATAGTGTTATTAACGCTTTGGCAATGTAAAGATTCCATTCACCGTGCCGATAAAGCTATCCTAATCTTAAATTCACACAAGCGTCCTACCATTGCTTTACAGAGCAGCTTGAGGATCTCCACCAGCAGAACTCCAGCCTTCCCAAGAGGCACCAGCGGTTTAGACACCTCCCTGTGAACAGGTCAGAGGTCAGACACTCATATCTTACTGCCAGAGTCATTTACTGATTGATTTCTGTGTGGCTTTATTGGGTTTGCAGGCTCACCTGAAGAGCGGCCCCATGGGAATCCCTCCCTCGTGCAGCATGGGACTGATGAGCTCAGCCAGATACAGCCAGATGTGAGGAATATCTATCGCCATGTCCTCCGCAACCTCCAGCACCTCCAACAGCCTGCGCCAGGCATTAGCATTACATTCATTAGACTGCATTATATACACATACAGTATATGACAAATACAATTAAATAAAAAGGACAAATAAAATAAAAATAACATTTCTAAAACTTCCAGAAGGGGGCGCTCCAGCAGAAGAACAGAGAATGCCGTGAGTTGCGCACTTGAAAACGAAGCCCACTAGACAGTGACCATGTGCTGACTCTGAAATGTGCACTCGACTGTTTGCGAAATGGAGCTTTGTGCTCGTGTATCCTACCTCTCTCATTCGGCACAAATCCAAATATTCCATAATATTTCCTAACGTATCTGAATGGTAAATTATTATTTATTATGTAAGTTATAGGCTTTGTACTTCAGTCACGTTCCAACGGTGACACAGAGGCGCACGCGCTGATGTTTGGTTCACTTTATTTTATTTTGATAAAGTACCAACTGCGCTGTCAAGTTAGCATTGCTGGAACTGGTGTGTGAGTGTGTGTGTGTGTGTGTGTGTGTGAGAGTGTGTGTGTGTGTGTGAGTGTGTGTGTGTGTGTGTGTGAGTGTGTGTGTGAGTGAGTGTGTGTGTGTGTGTGTGAGTGTGTGTGTGAGTGTGAGTGTGAGTGTGTGTGAGTGTGTATATATGTGTGTGAGTGTGAGAGTGTGTGTGTGAGTGTGTG